CAACTACAAAATAATTACTACTTGTAACACTGACTGCGTACAATCACATCAACTCACCACAGGCATCAAATCTTCTTCTTCATCTTCATTGTCCTCGTCATTGCTATCGTCATCGCCGTTGCCGTCATCGTCATCGTCGTCATCGTCTTCATCCTCCACAGCCTCAACTTCTTCAAACTCAGCCACGTTGTCCATAACAACCGCAGCAGTAGTCATGTCGTCAGCTTTGTCAGCAAATGCTGCCAGACCAACTTCACGGCCAGTTATCGCTACAACTGCATCGCCAATGGAAGCCATATCGCCTCCAACGCCTTCATTCATATCCAAAACAATTATTTCGCGCAACTCTGTACGAGCGTTATTTATTTTTGCTTTCGCCTTTATTTTTGTTGCCACAACTTTGCTGGACTTTGTGCGCTGCAGGCCTAATTTCGCAACATTCTGGTATAATTTCCAACGTTCACGCGCTGTTCTCCCAGCAGCAGCCACGTTGCTACGCCAGAAATTATGCAAAGAAAACAATAAGTGTAATGAAGCTGATGTTGACAACGATGAAAAATTCAGCATCATCATCCTCGACAAAAATTCACTTTGCGCAAAAGTTACAAAACGCGAATTTGGAAGTGATGAAAGAAAGTTTTGAAATATTTATGCATATTTGCGTATACATGCATAAACATACATACATATCTAAACGTTGGTCATTAGATCCATATTTTAAAACTTCAGCAGCATTACAAATTTCCAATAAAGCAATTTAAATAGTTTGAATTTGATATCATTGACTTTTATAGTCGGTACTTTAGGTATTTTAGAAAATGTAATCATAACACAGATCATTTTCAAATTGTAATATATGCCCTGCATGCACAATGTAGTACTTGCTTACCTCTCTTCTTCCTCTGCCTGCTGATTGACTTTGGCAATTACTGTTTGCCATTTGGCAACGATATGCGGATATTTCAATTCGATTTCCTTGTAATCGCCTGTGGCCTGCAGCTGACCGTTTTTCATGACAATTAACTGTGAATTGTTGGTGAGTTAGATATTGATGACAGCAAAGGATGCACAGAAAAGACAGTATTAAAAAGAAAATTACAGATATTTTTTGTATCTAGCTTGAATAAGTTAAAAATGAAAAAGTAATTTTTAAGCAAAAAAACAAAAACGATATCAATTCTCATATAAAAATTTAAGATTATCGTTAATTTCTTCACGATCCAATAATCGGATTTAAAACAAATTAGTATGGGACCACTTGTGAGGTAACAAATTTCCTTTAAAAAAAGAAAATCGGTAACATATGTACATAAAGAAAAAAATATTCCGACGAATGGATAACCTTTCTCCTTTTTATGAAGTCGGTTAAAAATATATAACTACACACATATATGTACATATATAAATACAGGGTATCTTAGACCACCCACTCGAAAATAGAGGGAAATGTTTTTTATTGAAAAACGCAAAAGTATGAACTACCAAGTCGAGGATGTTCTAACTTTTGTGGGTATTACCGACTTCCGTTTTCGACGTCTGGTTTCGACCGGAAGTAGGTTAAACTAACCGGAGGTTAAATTTTTTTCAATCGAATGTACATGTTTTTACCACAGATTGGGATTCTGGGCATAAAAATACGTAACATTTGTTGAAAACTTTTTTTATAAATGTACTTCTGGTTAAATCCATTGTTTTAACCAGAAATCCATTTCTGTTTTACCCAGTTTCGGTCTAAACCAGAAGTCGTTAAAACGACCAAAATATAGAGCAACCTATAATTAGTAATTCATGTTTTTTTCGTTTTCCAATAAAAACATTTTCACTCCTTTCAGACGTTTAGGATGAGTTGAAGTTCGAAAAAAGGCACCTCCGAGAAAAAATTTTCAAACAAAAAATACGTATTTGTATGCTCAGAATCCGAATCTGTAGTAAAAACTTGTATGCCTAATTTGAAAAACTGTAGTTCCAGTGAGTTTAACCCACTTCCGGCCGAAACAGGATGTCGGTAATACTACCAAAAGATAGAGCATCCCTGATTTGGTAGGTCATATTCTTGCGTTTTTTACTAAAAAAAAAAAACGTTCCCCCATCATTTTAGAGAGGGTACCACCCGGACACCCTGCAGGGCGGCTCTCTGACCACTTCAGCGTTTTTCAGACCGAGTTAGCAGCTATAAGGGAGGCTTGCCTAACGTGGTATGGGTACTCGGGCACAGTGGAATACCGGACAACTACGCGCCAGAGAGCAGGCGTCGTTGGGCGAAAGAACCATCATGTTCCGTTATAAAACAGATCTGACCATATGTTATAATACGAAAAGTTCCAAAACTCTTATACAAATCGGCCACCCCATTATTAG